AGTTTCTTTCTTTCTTTCTTTCTTTCTTTCTTTCTTTCTTTCTTTCTTTCTTTCTTTCTTTCTTTCTTTCTTTCTTTCTTTTCTCTTCCTTTCTTCCTCCCTGATTTGTTTCCCTCTCTTTTCTCTCTCATTCTCTCCCTTTCATTTCTCTCTCCCTCTCCCCCTTCTCTCTCTAATTTGTTTCCCTCTCTCCCATTCTCTCCTTCCAGCTCTCTTTCATTGCTCTCTCTCTCCCCCCTCTCTCTTTCTCCCCTATTATTTTCATCTCTTCCTTGCATGTGAAGCAAAATACTTTTCTGGGCTGGGATCACGGCAGCAGGGACAGCCACTCCTTCCGCTGCCACCACTGAGAAGTGAATACCTGGCTGTGCTTCGGAGAAGAGCCATGCTGTGCAGGAGACTCCTTAGTGCTAGACTCAGTTCAGCGCGAGCTGCGGTACCATTCCCTTCCTTCCTGAGCCAATATGAAGGGGACCGCGACTCACACTGACCTGAGTCTAGTGCTGAGGAGTCTCTTGCACAGCGTGGCTCTTCTCCACAGTGCAGCAGAAGAAGTTGCTGTTCTCGCCACCGTGATCCTGGGTATTTTGCTTAAACGCGCAAGAAAGAAATGAAAGAGAAAAGGGGAGAAAGAGAGAGAGATAGAGAGAAATGAAAGAGAGCTGGAAGGAGAGAATGGGAAAGAGGGAAAAGAGAGGGAAACAAATCAGCACTAAAAGCCACCCTCGTCCTCCCTCCCTTCCTCTCCACAACCTTCTCCCTGAAAGCTTTTTCACAAATAATACCAGCAGCCATTTCATCTCCACCAAAGTAGATACATACACACATTCATGCTCGCCCTCCCCCCCACGCACTTACACCAAATAAAAAAATAAAATAAAATAAAAAATGGCAGAAATAGAGAAAGAAGTGAGACCACCAGAAAATAAAAGAAGCAGGAAGCTGGCTCATCCTGTAAAAAGGGAAATCAATGAAGAGATGAAGGTACATCTCTGCGCTCCCCCTTTATTGTCACTGTATTCCAAGCGAGAAGGGTAGAAAAAGGGAAGAGGGGCACATTGAATCACAAGAAGAATGAGCGCCCTCTACTATGAGGCAGAAGAACTGCGTGCCTCACCTACCTTGGGATTTTTTAGGCTTTTAACCCTCATTTAACTCTGCTCAAGCGATCATAAAACACCTTAAAAGTCAGACTAGACTAGATGAGGCACATAGTTCTCCTGCCTCATAGTAGAGGGCACTTTTTAGAGGCTTTTTTAAACAGTTAGGCATTAATAGATAAATTATTTATACATTATATAAACTTATCCATATTAATTCTTTTTAAAATTTCTGAGCAATAAGAGGCTTCTTAAATAAATTTGAAAAGATAATTCAAAACCTTTCTCTTTTTTTGCAGAAAAAGAATTATATACACTATCTGACAAGAAAGAACGGTTATTGGAAAATTTAAAAAGGCTACAAGAAGCTCAAGCTCTTGCAGCGACCCAACGTGGCAGTGTGGGTGGTATGTTTGTGGTGATTTAACATTCTTTCAGCTATAATGTTAATTGGGGGTACTTTGAATTAAGGTGCTTCATTTGTTAGGGAAATTGAGCAGAGCAGAACAGAACAGAACACTTTGTTGGCCAAGTGTGATTAGACATAGAAGAAATTTGTCTCCGGTGCAGGTGCACTCAGTGTACATACAAACAACCAAGTTATATAATCATAAGATACCAATAAAAGAAGGTAATAGAAAAAGTGAAAAAGATAACAGTAAAACAGCCATACCACATGGGTATTGCATAGCATATTAGTTTGTATTTGGTTATATAGACTTTTTGATAAATTTTCTTTGTTAAATTATTATTTCAAAATATGATTAAGATCCTGATTTCTAACCTTTAATTTGCTTAATAGTGTCATCTTAGATATTAAGACAAAGAACACTTAAATTATGCACTTTAACTCAGTTAATTTAAGAAGTTGTGTGAAATGCTCATTAAAATGTAAACAATTGAGAATATTGGTTGCAAAATTTAATAATTTGTTATGAATTGTTTTTAAATGTTTTTGTAGAAGCTAAACAAAAGGAGCTAACTGAGCAAAGGAAATATTTAACTGCAGAGTTAGACACAATAGTAAAGAATATTGAAAGAGTGGAACGTAGTACTTCAGGAATACTTCTAGATATAGGAGCAAGTGGTAAGCAAATAAAATGTTGTTTTTAAAGCTATCTCAATAGAAAAAATAGGAAGTTGGGGGAAGATAAAGGTTAATACTAATTCATGATCAGCCCCTTCCCTGGTATCAGCTTTGTTCATGGTTAATTCAGTGGCTTTTGGGGACTTGCTTGGGATGTATGTTACCTGTTTCCCACCATTGAACTAGAAATTCAGTAAAGCAGAATTCAACATCAGCTCTAGACAAATGAGACAATGCAATTGGAGAAATGTGAGATTTTATTTCTGCCAGTTTCTCCATATTTGAATCATGCTTGTTTTTCATTTTAGTTATGCTTAAAGCCCTTGGACAAAAATTGTAGTTGATTGTAGGTCAAATCTTTTCAAACATTATCATGATCCTCTGATCTATTATTTATGTGCCAGTAATTGAATTCAAACTTTATACTGCTGAGGGGAAAAACTTAATTATTTTACTGGCTCCTTTATGCTGTTGACTGGTATAGTGTTATCTTATTAGTTTGTAGGAAACCACATTTAGCAAAAGGCTTCATGTCCTTCCTAAAGGATTTTCAGTGCTTTTATAAATCATACTGAGCGGGAGCATGAGGGATTGATACTCTGCTATCCTAATCAAAACTTTACTGATTTGAAAGAATCTTTCTGCTGTGAATAGTGCTTCTTTGTGGGTCCCAGGGCAAAGTGGGTAACTAAAATTTGACTGAAGCCAGTAAAGCAATCATTATCATGTTTATGACTCAGAATGCCTCATATAGGCTGTGCAGTATTATCTATGGGAATTGAATAATATGCTGCACATTGACTAATACTCTAGACCCTGTGAAAACATCCAGAATATGATTACTCTAAGAGATCCTGATACTCCTTTACATACAATCTAAAAAAAGTACAGTGGCTATCAATTAGTTTCTTGTCATAATTTGAAACACCTAAATGATTGCTACTGCCTAGAATTTATTGTTCAGATTCTCTGTGTTCAGTAATGATAATTGTATGTCTGATTAGAATATTCTATGAATATTTTTGTCATGAGCTCAAAAAACTACATTTCTATCTTTTATAGATTAGTCAGTATTTTTTAATTTAGCAAATTCCTGTTTATTTGATTTTTAAATCTGTTCTTCATATTTTCTGTTGCCATTTTTTTAATGATGCAAAATGTATTTGCATTAATGTAAGAGAGTCTTACTTTATTATATATTCACTTGTCTGTTAATTATTTTTCATTGTAATGATAAATGTAGTATTTGAAATTTCCATTAAATAATTTATTTTTAATAAGCTTTTTTTTGTGAACAGTGATTTCTTATTTAAAATCTCTTAATTTTGCAGAGAAAGATCTACATGAATTGTTAGAAAAGAAGTTTGAAATACTGGAGGATTTGGCAGTCAATCAAAAAGAGCTGCTGGAAGTTCAAGTTCTTGCAGCTATCCACCCAGATAGTACCTGTGGTATATTTTGGTTTTTTTTTTTCTATCTCTGATAACTGTAATCTGAAATTTATAGATGGTTCACAGCCTCTAACCCTCAAAGCTTCAACCTTAAACTGTCTACTGTGGACCTAACCCCATTCCTAAGAAGTCCATAAAGGGGATGTGAATAAGTGTATAACCCTAACCCTGTTCTGCTATCCCCATCTATTTATCATTTCTTTTGTTTATATTTATATTTATATTTATACTTGCTATCTTGTACATGTTTGACAAACTAATAAATATGAAAACAAACACAAATAATGCTGATTTTAAATAGTTCACTTGTTCAAAATAGAAACAATAATTATGAATAAATAATTGTAAGTAAAATCAACAGTTAATGAAAAATAAACAGAAAATTGGACATATTAAAAAATAATTACAACAAAAAACTATTAGTAAAAAAAATTAAAATTAGCAAACTGATCAGTGAAAGTGGTACATTGAAATTACAGCTTCAGAGTGACAAGGAGAATTAATAGGTGAGCCAATATCAATGCAAAAAGTTATTTCTTTAATAATACAAGGAAATACCCCCTGAACAGAGATAAAAAATGAAAATTAGGAGCAATAGGAAAGCCTCCAGAGCCTGGGGAGGGTGAAAATTCCACCACCACCCCGCATGGAGTGTCACTCATGCATGCATGGTGGGGTGTTGCGCATGCACATGGGAGTGTCGCTCATGCATGCGCAGGGAATCAGTCAGGCATGCATGTGGGTGGGTATGCATGCACACACGATAATGTGCTATATATTCTCTCTCTCCCTCACTCCCCCCACTCTCTCTCCTAGACTATATACCATATTTTTCGGAGTATAGGACACACCCTTTTCTCTTAAAAAAGAGACTGAAAATCTGGGTGCATCTTATACCCTGAATACAGCATTTTTTGCCTCCTGAAACCCCGCTCACTTCACCAAAGTGGCCATGTATAGTCTTTAGGAGGCTTCTAGAGTGCTCCTGGGGGCTGGGAAGGGCAGAAATGAGTGAAAAATGGGCCATTTTTTTGCTCAATTTTGCCTCCCTCCCAGCACTCAGGAGCACTCTTTAAGCCTCCTAAAGGCTATACATGCCCCCCCCCTTTTTTTGAGAAAAATGGGCATGTTTTAGCAAAAATGCGCCACTTTTTGCTCGTTTTTTGGGGGGGGCACTCTCCAGGAGCACTCTACAAGCCTCCTAAAGGCTATTCATGCCCTTTTTTTTGGGGGGGGGGGGAAGGCCTGTTTTCACAAAAAAACAAGCCATTTTTGGGAGCTAAAGGCTAGAGTCAAATAGTACAATATGAACTTAAAAATAAATAATTGTTGTATGAATTACTGCTTTATTGTATAAAACAATATAAATGAAATTCAATTCTATAATTCAATCATATGCACATTCAATCCATACATATAATCTATATGTATAAAATAGGTTATGCACAATAGAAATGAACTCAGCATTTAATTTAGTATAATAGTTAAACATAGCTATTTTAGTAATATTAAGAATTTTAGTATTACATTTTAGTAATTAATTGTCCTGTATTTATTTTGTAGATTTTAAATTACAAGACCTTACTACAAAAAATAGGCATTTGACTGAATATCTAGAAGCAACTGTACAAGATATACAAGAAATACATGAAATACCAAAAGGCTTTTCAGAAACAATTATTATAACAAGACCCAGTGGCAAGTAGAGAACAGATTATTTAGATTTTATAAAAAATATGTTCAGTTTAATAAGTAAAATATTTGCTAAAGGTAATGTAAATGACTGGAGAAATTTAAGATGTACAAATGCTAGTTGAAAGATAGTGAATAATATACTTTGCTAGTTTTAATTATTTAGTTGTGTCCAACTCTTGAAGATTTTATAGGCAAGTGCTCCCCATGCTACCCTGTCAAACACAGCTTCTTTCAACTGTTGTATATTCAACTTTGTATCAGGTTTGATGTTATCAATTCAGAGTGTTCTTTGTTTGCCACTTCTCATATTGTATTCAAATTTTGAACACTATTACCTCTCATATTCCTTCAATTAGATTTCTATTAAACATCTTTCCAAACACACTTAACAATTTTTGTTACTCTTTTGCAAACTGCATACATAATCAAATGAAATGATATTGATGATGTGCTATTGTTATTGTCTCACTGTTTCTTCCTATTGGAAAGAGACATCCTTTGTATTAGATTTGTATTTACTACATCCAAATATACCTTCAAATCGATATTAATTTCAGAAGTTATTATCTGTTAAAGACTGACCTTGAAATCTAATCATCTCATTATTTAGTCATCTTCTGAAAAGGATGACTTTCACATTTTGGGGTGTGAAATTCTGTATTAAGAATTATCTTCTAATAGTTTCTCCCAAAGACAAGTTACTCTACTTATGACTGCCCATTGAGAATATATTTATCATATGTTCTTCTTTGCTTTTCTTTAACCCATCAGTGCTGCTTTAACACATGCCAGTAAGTATCGGTTTATAGTAGCAAGAGCAAGAGCACTTAGATGCATATATCACTTCATTGTGCTTTACAGCCCTCTATAATCAGCGGTATGATGACCAATGGTAGAACATCATGATTCACTATGATTATCAGTGGTAGAAGACTGAAAAATAAAGCCTATGAGGTGAAAAAAGATAAGAGCAATCTTACAGAGGCTAGTCTAGGAAAACTTCATTAATTTGTCTTCAAAAGTAAACATGTTTAAATTAAATGTGCATTAAACTAGAAAAATGCTTTATGAAACCTCCGCTCCATTTGAAAAACCATCTACATTTATTGCAAAAGTGTAACTATAGATCAGAACTGAAAAAAGGAGAATTTGGAAAAAACTGCAGCGTTTTAAATCTGGCCAATTGGATGTTCCATAAAAATTGAATAAACAAGGTATGGCGAGTCTAAAAGTGCAGTGACAGTGATACTGATTGGCGGATTCTTTGTTACATGCTGTGACTCCACCTGAGAGGAAATTCTCTCTGTTCTATTTTTTTTCATGCTGCATACACTCTGCTGCCAAATCAGTTTTATTTGATGTATGTGATATTAGAACATTGATGGCCATAACAACGGTATGATGCTAAATAAAATAATTTCAAAACTGTGAGCAGGTATAATTTTAATAAATCAGGCTCCATCTTTAAGAACCGTAGCTCATTTGGTAACCATTTGCTAATTCTGGTAATATGTAGTTATAAAGATATACAAATTATGTTTTTTCTATTCTCTCTTTTTGAATAGTTATATTATTACTTGCTTTCTATGGGACATACATTGATAAAGTAATATGTAATCTCTTATTGACAGGTAATAATACATTTCACATTTTATGGTTTGCTTTTATTTTTTAAAAAATTATTATTTCCTTAAGTAGAACAATCAAACTTGTTTCTTTTATTGTGATACAATACCATGAACAGTGAGGACATTTTAAACTATTTTTTCAGTTGCTCATTATAAAAATGTTCTTTTTTTCCAGAAGAAGAATTACATGTACTATCTAAGAAGAAAGAATGCTTGCTAGAAAATCTGGAATCTAAGAAGAAAGAATTAAAAGAAGCTGAAACTCTTGAAATTAGTCAACCAGGCACGGTCAGTGGTATGTATGTAGTGTTTTTCATACTTTCATTGTTTGTAAATAAAAATTGTCAGATGTATTGCATTTTGTCTTTTTGCTGTAAACTGCTTAGAGTCAAGAGGATTAAAGCAGTATTAATAATTATATCTTTATATATATACATATATATATGTATATATATATACTTA